GGCTTGGTCTACACTAAACCCCCAAATCGAACTAAGGTACGCAACTTCAGCTGAAGTCGACGTACCTTAGTTCGAACTTACCGCGGTCCACACCCGGCAGGCAGGCTCCCCCGTCGACTCCGCTTACTCCTCGCGGCGAGCAGGATTACCGGAGTCGACGGGGAGCACTTCTGAGTTCGATTTATCGCGTCCAGATTAGACGCGATAAATCGAACCCAGAAGTTCGATTGCCTGCCGCCGAACCAGCGCGTAAGTATAGACAAGCCCTCAGTCCCTGAATTCTCTACTCTCGTATACAAAGTGTACCACAAATTAAAGAATTACAGACTGAGTCCTTGCAGAGGCTGTCTGGATGATTCTTTCCTTTTGTTACCTTGCTGTGCCACGTAAGCTGTGTTTAGAAAGGGTTTACTATTATAGCTCTACTGGCCAACTCTGATAGTTGAGTTCTATATTGCCGGTGTAGTTAATACCAGGAGAAAACTGTCTACATTAGGGGTTTTGCCAGCACAGGTGTGTCAGTTAGAAGTGACTTTTTAAGTGTAAACTAGGCCTTAGTCTATCATAGACAAATTCCTTTAGAATTAAGATGGAGATACGGAATGCTAACTAACTTGTGACTCAGGTCAGGTCTGCACGAGGAGCACTTTGCGGGAATAGCAATACCAGTATATTTACTAGCAAAGCACTCCTAGAGGGGGTGTAGCTTATTCCCGTCTTCCCTTCCCCTCCTAACAAAATAAGCTATACTGGCAAAAGTACAGTTTTGTTGGTATAACTGCATCTACACTAGGGACTCTTGTCAGATCACACCCTGATTTTGACAATGCTACATCAGCAGTAGTTTATAGTGTACATCTGGCCTCAATGCGTCTACTCTGTTGAAGTGTAATATCACTGATCATTTGGCAGTTGCCTTGATTTTTGGCTTAGTAATGCATATTTTGTATGTGTGGGCAAAGGAAAATTGCTTTCAGACTCCAAAGGTCTGTATTTGCTCTTTCAGTTGCTGACCTTGATGGAAACACTTACTGGCGTCATCCTTTCAATAGCTTGTTCCATCCAAAGCAGTTGGAGGAGTTCATTGTAATAGATATCACCAGGGTCCAAGAGAGAAAACAAGGTGCAGGTGCAGGGATGAGATCAAACAAAGTAAGAGTTTATTTGCCTTATTTACCACTTCTGGAAACCTGGTTCCTTGTCTGGAATTCTGTTTTCGCTCACTTGATATTACAAAACAAACTGCACGTTTTTCCAAATGTATCCAAAAATGTTCTGACTATTGTTAGCTGGTGAAGCCCTCCCCTAAGAAAGGTGCAATACATCATTCTCATTCATTGGGAATTGCATACACATCACATGAATTCCCTTTTCAAAAATTATTTTGCTTCAAAATTAAGTTAAAATTTGATTTTGTTATAAGCTTCTTACTCTTAGGTTAATATTTTAGGTCACAATTTAGTAATGAAGCATTTTATGCAGTCCAACACTTAGAGGATTGTGGATACCAGCTAAGTTTATTTATAACTGAATGAACCATATTTGACAAATATATTGACAAATATTCTACCTGATTGCCTAGGTCAAATTAGTACTAGGGACTGGTGTTCAGAAGTCCATTCACCTCTCTTACTAGTTTTTTTTATTACAGATCTTGTAGCAGTTGTTCTTTCTTAATAACACAAGACTGTGGCTTGGCACTTTGTCCTACTTAGACGTCTATGTAACAATGCCTAGCCTTTGGTTTGCTGCTCTTAAATTGTTATATTTCCTTACCAAACAATATTGCTTGTTCCAAAAACTCTATGTGGTACATAATGAAGTAAAAACAATCCTTGTGATCATATTTATGGGAGGAAATCTAAATGGGATGTGTGAAAATTTCCCATTGTTTCCATTTGTTTGTCTTCAGTAAAAAGGCAATCATTAACGATAAGGAAATGGAAGTTGGATACAGAAGAAGACAGTATTGTTACTGATGCAATATCAAATGTTACATAATACAGCAATAGACGTGTTTTAATTGTGCAGCAGCAAATGAAACTATCTGCATCTCATTACAAAAATGTTTATTTCCATTTCTCAAGCACACTCTTGCTGAAGCCTGGGTACAGAAAACCTCAGAGATGAATACAGATAATCAGTATTTCTGCCGCACTCACTTGGGGCACCTTCTAAATCCTGGAGACCTAGTCTTGGGGTTTGTATTGATATATGCTATTTTCAATCAATATTTGATTGACTGAGACATATCCTGCAGGTTAATAAAATCTCAACTTCCTGTAACACTGACCCCAAAGTTACAAGGCATGTGGGACAGGAAAGATCTTATTATTCTGTCATTGTGGAAAAGGGTTTTGGGTTGGTAGAAAAGAGGTGGCTTCTGTTTTTAAAGTGTCCGTTTAAACCAGTGGTTCTCAAACTGTGGATCAGGACCCGAGTGTAGGTTGCAACCCCATTTTAATGGGCTCGCCAGGGTTGGCATTAGACTTGCTGAGGCCCAGGGCCAAAGCCCGAGCTCTTCGACTTCAGCCCTAGGTGATGGGGTTCAGGTTACAGGCCCCCTGCCAAGAGCGGAAGCCTTGGGCTTCGGCTTCCCCCCAGCCCACTCGGAGTGGCAGGGCTTGGGCTTCGGTTCCCCCTCCTGGGGTCGTAAAGTAATTTTTGTTGTCGCATGGGGATCGTGGGGCAATGAAGTTTGAGAACCCCTGATCTAAACCAAAACTTGTAAAAATGGCACCTTTTGACTCAGTACTGTTGCCTGTGCACGTTCAGAATTGTATCTAATTACAGTGTTTCCACATTTTGCTATGGTTAGAGCTGAAGAGCTAGCACAGCTGTGGGAAGCCGATCTGGATTCAGCTCAGGCTCATGCTTTACCAACAGAATTGTGAACTGTTCTAATTTTAAAATTCAAAGTGACAGAAAATATGAGGGTGGAGAAGAGGCCCTTGGACAGGGCCAGGAAGAGGTCATTGGTGACCTTAATGAGAGAAGTCTCAATGGCATGGAGGGACAAAAGCCGGATTGGAATCGGGTCAGTCAGCTAGCAGTCAATCAAAGCAATGAGTATATAGAATGCACATATGACAAACACACTGCTTAGACATGGCGAGGCTTGGGCGGGTTTCTAAGATGCCAAGGTAGTGACATGTTCAAAGACCAAGCATGTTGGAAAAACAACAAGGAGTCTGGTGGCACCTTAAAGACTAACAGATTTATTTGGGCCTAAGCTTTCGTGAGTAAAAATAAATCTGTTAGTCTTTAAGGTGCCACCAGACTCCTTGTTGTTTTTGTAGATACAGACTAACACGGCTACCCCCGATACTTGACAAGCATGTTGGAGTGTGTCAGAAGTCAAGATGGGATGGAGACAACAGAACAGGTTGAAGGGTATAGCATGTCATGTACTTGATCACTGAGTGTGTGTGTGTGTGTGTATATATATGTGTGTGTGTGTGTGTATATATGTGTGTGTATATATATATATAATCTGATGTACCTTAAAATGTAAAGAGTTTAACTTGTTTATCAAGGATGCTTAGTAGCATGGATTTTCTTCCCTTTTGTGTATCATTACTTCTTTCTGGAAGTTTGGTCTCTTTTGTATGAACTATAAAATTGTAATTATATTATGTTTCTTCTTGGAAGAATAAAACATGAAAGGTTAAATGTTCAAGCTATTAAGTGTGTTGTAAATATCTTCCTTTTAGATTTGACTTGGCCAATTGTAACCTCAACGACGAATTTGCAAATAAGATGAACCCACACAACGTTCCTGATGTGGTAAGGTCCTGGACTCTCGTTTCTTGTAGAGAAGTTTGTTTCTTGTGCATTATTGAAAATGAGAACATTATGGTCTATAAAATGTATGTTGTAGTCCTAGCCTAAAAATCAGGGGAAACGAGGTATTAGCACCAGCATCCTGGTCAAATTCCAGTTTTGGAAATTATATTCTGGCTGTTTAAATTTTCCCTGATGTTTGGATTGGCTTTCTTTCTGAAAGACATGCCCTAGCTCAAACAGGAATTAATTCAAGGAAGTCCTGTGGCCTGTGTTATGCAGAAGGTTAAATTAGATCACAATTATCCCTTCTGCTCTTCTGGATCTGTAATATCCATTTCCTTCTCTAAACTATTGTGTCCTATCTGTGCTGCGCAAACACTGTACTGTTCCTCCCATACACATATATAGCTTGGAAAGGACTTTGGGAGCCCTTTGTATGACAAGCACTATATAAATAGTGTGAGAACTTCACTATTCAGGCTCAATGAGGTGCCTGACTCAATCCTTTATTCACAGCTGAGGTACAGCTGTCCCTTGCTGCCCTCTTGTGACCAATTATAGTATCGAAGAATCCACAATGCAGTACAATTCCTTGCTTCATAGATCCAAAGAATGATAGTGTTTTTCTGAAAGTTGGTCTAAAATGATATCTTCTGTGTAGGTATTAATAAAGAAGAGTTATGACCGCACTAAACGCCAGCGTCGTAGGAACTGGAAACTGAAAGAGCTGGAAAGGGACAGAGAAGGCATGGATACAGATGATGAAAGGTTTGGTTTCTGCTCAGTAGCTTTTCCCCTTGAACCATCTGCAGGGTCCAGTAATGGGTAGCATTTCTCAATTTCTCCTGAGCACGTACTAGGTTTAGTACCATTATCTGGTCTAAAGGGCATCCAGAAGAAGTGGAGACACCACTCCTCCTCTTCTTCCACACAGGCAGGTACAACTGGCACTCCATAAGGGGGAGTGCATGCTTACCATATCAGAGGATGGCTTAGCAGGTCTGGTGTCCCTGCATTCTAGGGAGAGGTATACCTCTTCACTGCTCCCTACTGCAGGGAGTGCCTTAAAGACACAATTTAGCCCTGAGTGCTCAGAGTGAAATCTCATCCCGCTTTTGACTGCTTTGTGAAATTGTAGCGGAGATTGATATTTGAGACAATATAGTAAAACTTCCTTGAATTTTGCCCACAATCTTACAGCCCTTACTAAAGGTTACACAGAGTTACACAGTATAAGCATTGACTACAAAGACTTAAAAAAAAAAAAAACCTGAAATCGTTAGTGAGTGGAGTCAGACCCCATGTCTGTGGGACAACCGATTATACATTAAGCTGTCTGAAGAGACATCTGTAAGGGAGAGGAAACGTTTGTCATTGGTATGTTCGGTAACAAATTATATACGACAGCTGACTAACTCTAATGCCTAACTGACTGGAAAATGGAAGCAAAAGATCAGAGTTAAATTGGAATGTAAAAGCTACAGCATATTAGTGGCATACTATAAATATAAACTACACAAAGACTGAATTACAAAGAAGGGGATGTTATAAGAGCGTGTGTCTGAGGGACCAAATCCTGTAATCATTTCTTGATGTGCAATGCTTCCCTACACTTCATGGGCCTTAAAGGGAGCAAAGAAGTGAGAGGTAGAGCAGTTATTATTTAAGTGCTGACAACACACCCAAGACATAAGTGCCTTAAAACCCTGCAAGTAGAAAGGCTGTAGTCAGTGAGTCCATGCCTACCCTTCTCCCCTAACCCTAAAGTTTTGTGCCTGTTTTTGAACACATTTGGGCAACTTGGGATTTGGGGGATGGAGCTAGGGCTCTATTTGTTCACTGGTCCCCACAGGACTCATAGAAATATAAGCAGCCCCTCCTTGAGTTTTTTTTAATCTGTACTTGAAGCACATAGCTGTAACTGCTACAAAATGTAAGTATTCTCAGTGTATAATAAAACAAGAGCACTTTTAACTCATGAAGTTTTCTGAGTAAGTCTCTCTCTGCCCATCCCTATTGGGGTTTTTACGTGCAGTAGAGTGTCACCTTTAGGATTGGCCCTAACCAGTTTGGATTCCACTGGGCTGCTAGCCTGCCAGACTCCAGAGTTTGCATAATTCTAAAGGAAGAGTTAATGTATTCAATTGAGTTTGTTGCTTTTTAGGCAGTACCAGGACTTCCTTGAAGATCTTGAAGAAGATGAGACAATTAGAAAGAATGTCAATATTTATAAAGGTAAATTTTCCTGAACCGTGTAACTGTGCATAACACTTGTGACTTCAGATTTATATTTAGCTTCTGGTAATTCAGAAGGAGTTGAATGCTCAGGGTAAAGTGACATACACTTGGGAGAATGCATATTACTTGAGGTCATAATGTCAATAGATACTTTACAGCCTTTTTGATTACTGTGTGTTCATGTTTTGTATTTGCGGCAAAGGTAGGATTGGAATGGAAGTCTAATTTGGAAAAAATACTGTTGGTCTATAATTCAGCACCCTATATGAAAGGGGCAGGGTGTATTGCTGATGTACTAGCTTTAAGCTATGAAATTTCTTGGAGCTATTATTTCCTTATTTGGTTTTTCTTGTTTGGTTTTTTAGATTCAAAAATTCCAGTGGAAAGTGACACAGATGATGAAGGTGCTCCACGAATCAGTCTGGCTGAGATGCTCGAGGAGCTCCATATCTCCCAGGATGCCACTGGTGGGGAGGGTTCTGATATGATGACCCAATAAGGATATGCATTAGTAAATGCAATCAGTGTACTCTTGAGAAGAAAAACTATCTCATACAGAAGTAAATGTAATGAACTGTTAAACTAATCATAGACATTCATGTAGTCTTGTGAATATGAAAGGCTATGCACGTAAACCCTTCTTACCCATAAATAAGATTGTGTGCTACACAAACTGCTGAGGGGGATCAGATTTAGTAAAATCAAATTCCTGCTGAAGGTGTCACAACATAAGGCCTGCAAATTTTTCAGACATTCTCCTGCAGCCTTCTCCCTATAATTTCTGCAATGTGAGTGCAAGCTGAAACTGCAGGTGTATTCCACAGGATTGTCATGTGGTTCAGATGCAAGATGAGTCAAAAGCAATGGGATCTGTTCCTGATTCTGCCTGACTTTCTGTAGCTTCCTCTCCTATAAAAGAGACCTTTGTCTTCTTCACAGGAGAGGAGTTAGACTAGATTTGCTTGGAAAGTGCTTTAAGGTCTTTGAATGGAAGATGCTGAATAAATTCATATTACAATATTTCTGGTAAATACAAGTACATGGTTTGTTCCTCTAGTAAAGAAGCTATACATACAAGTGTGTGCATAAAAATCCTTACGTAAAATAATATGTAAGTCAGGTGCCAGTACAGCCCTCTGAATCACAAAGCATGGCCACCCTTGCTCATTGTGGGATATACTGCACTATCCTAAATTAACCCACTGATACTGGCATTTAACATGAATAAATATCTCCAATTGTGAATCTTACATTTGAAACTGTTAGAACGCTGAACATTTCTTTTTAGCCAATAACTCAATATATTAACAAAATGTCTGTCAACTGTTACTGGCTTAATTGTTAGAAGTTTTAATACCAAAGAGGGCATGGTCAAAATGTGCAATCGTTTTGGAACAACAGAATATTAAATATTGACATCCTTCAGTTTTTTGTTTTGTTTTACTGCAGAGGGGTTGGTAGAATAGAAGCTTTACTGAACTGCATGAGAGCTTTCAGGTTTGACAAATGTATAATTTCCTTGCATAGAAAGGATAAACCTATACAGTGCAGCAAAACCAGTCTTGCCACTATATTTTTAACTCTTCTAAAATGATGCATGGTAACTAGAAGGTGAAGTAAGGAATAAACTTTCTCTCCTTGCTTCACTGTAAAGTTTAAATAAGAGGTAGAAAATTAGAGGAAACTTTAATGTATAGTGTCAATTCAATAGTGGATATAGTCTAACGGTATCATACATAGCATAGGAACTGGACTATGGGTGTGGACTGTTCCTTCCTACATGTATTTTTGTGATAATGTACAAGATTGAAACACAGAAGACAGGCAGGACTGAGGTCCAACCAAAGCGTGCCTCTCAAGCTTAGGTAATAGGTTGTCGTGAAGACCCTTAAGTTTGATAGCTTCTCTGGGATTGAAGGAAAGATTAAAAAGTCCCTGACACGAGGCTAGACACTGCATGTGAACAAGAATTCCTATACTTATCCTATAATCCAGTTTACACTTCAAGCCCCTGTCCTATGGGACAGCTCACTTACAATACCGTTTCCCTCCTCCTCCTGCATGGGATCAAGTAAACCTGTTACTTGGGTGCACAAAGCATCCATCATTTCTGCTGTGCCTGGGGATGCAGGCCCAGTTATGACACTTTCTGGCTGTGCATGTCAGTTTAGAAATCCAGGAGTTCCTTGAATCTACTCTTGATTGACAGTTTCTCCTTTGTCCTCCCAGACGTGAAGAAAGCCACATGCCACAAGAACCCAGGTAGCATTGATAACCCTGGTATCCAAACGGTTCTGAAGGCCCAGCCAACGGATTTCAATCTGCCAAATGCACATTCAACCAACATCTTACAGATAGTTGAACTTCCTTTTCCCAAGCCTGTTGCAGTCAGGTTCAGAAGCCATGGCTTGGGCTGTAATTTGTCACAGCTTTTTTTTTTTTAAACAAAAAAATCATGGAGCAGTCACTAAATTTAGTAAGAGTTACAGTTACTGTTTACTGTGACCTCTCTGTGATTTTTTTTATTTAAAAAAAAAATGCCCTCCTTGCCCAGGGCAGGGGCACCAACCACCCACAGACCACCCTCTGCCCCAGCCTAACCACACAAGGGGAGGAGACTGGATAGCAAGCCTGACTCACACTCACCCCACCACTTCTAGTCAATTCACGCAGGATGGACAGACAAATTCTCCCCAAATCCACTATGAACCGTGCCCTAGAGTGGCTGTATCTAACACGGGTGCTAGGAACCCAGGCAGATACGCCTCCAGATACAGCATGACTCAGGTCAGTGTAGTGCACTATGGACCCAATCAGCACAGTTGGAAGCACAGGTTTACAATGCAGTGTGGATGCTCAAGCATAGGCTTGGAAACACCAAATCTACAAACCTGAGTCCCACAGGCTACTTGCTGCGCAGTGTAGATGTACCCTGAGGGCTCAAATCAATTCTCATTGAGGTCAGTGAGAGTCATGTTTTGATTTGAGTTTGATTAGGCTCAATTATCTTCTGAATTATACTTCATAATTTCGTAACTTGCTTTTAAAAAGACCATATGGTGCAGTATTCTCATTTGTACAGAAAAATGCAGAATTGGTAGGCATTTTTATTTAGCTGCACTTTAGGCCCCTTCTTGGTATTGTGTGTAAAAGGTGTTCTTAGAGATGGTTACGTATCATTGTGTATTTCTGTCACAGTGAGCTCTTCTCCCAGGAACTTATTAAAGTTTTCACCACATCCAAGAGCAGTAAAAAAACTACTCTGAAACTGTTGAGAGCTGGTTTAAGTTTACCCTTTATGCCGGATCGGTATAGAAAATAAAAGCAAGGATTTTAAAAACATCTTTGAGAATTCAGCTGTCACCCAAGTGAATCTTCACTGTAATAAACATGGATTTTATAATATATATTGTATTGTAGCTACACCTGCCAGTAGGAGTAGGAATGGGGGAAGCGTGAATAAACTTGGCCATAAAAATTCCTTGGAGCTGCAATTTAGTATGGAAATTTTCTATGGAAAACTTTAATTTAGAACATTAAATCAAATCATCTCGATCTGGATAGGGAAGATTATCCAGGCCTGCAATATGTTGTACTCGCAGGTTAAAGCGACTTTACATACCCAAAAATCGAACCTTCCCTAAAAGTAAACTTTTAAACACACAATTCTGGCTGTTGAGAAATGTAGGAGAGTTGTGCTAAAAAGTTATCCCAGCTTTTCAGCTAGGCCACACACCAGCTCCTGGGCCAACCCCCTTCCTTCTGCTGAGATTTCTTTTCTTCCTCACTATCACTGTCTGCTCCCATATGTTGAATCGTCCTGTAAATGTACCAGAAATGCCCATTTAACAAACCCACCCCCAAAAAGCACAAAATGAAATAACCCAAGTGTTGTGTGACTAGTGCTCTCCCAACAGCAGCTTTTTGTTTCCCCTCCTTCCTGTAGCTTACTACCATTTCTCCTTATCAGCCTAAATTAGATTGTAACCAGCTCTGACCAAGGGTCTTATCCAGAAAGTGCCATTCACTCCAAACATGCTAGATAAATAAAAAATAAACACAAAATTCCTGCTGGCTGTTTGTGCATTTGTCTGCCAGCTGGTAACCTTCACAAGAACAGCTGGCAGTGTACTGTGCCTATTCGAAATCAATCAAAGCTAGTCTAATTTTAGACCCTTCAGCCTTGACAATTTGCCTTTAGCATTCAAAAGAAGTCAAGAGCCAAAAAGAGGTTCAGTAGATGCTTCACTGGCTGTTGCTTTACATGTACCCTTCTTGATTACACTAATAGTGGCTGGTAATCTGATAACAGGTACTTAATTTGCACCAGATAAGGGACTGTCATTTACTGCCTACACTGCAACCTGCAAGACCTTTTTAATATGTTAATTGATTCCAGAGCTACTTTTTAAAAATACATATTTGTAGACGCAGAGATACAGCTTACCGAGCAAGGCCCTCCCCTCCTAAATTGACTCCCACAGAAGTCAATTTAAAGTTAATAATCACAAAGATTTGCCTGAGTACTGATTTGGATGAATCCTAAATTGGAGTTAAAGGAAAATTTATCATAAGCTCTTTGAGGCATGAATAGTGTCTTCATATGCATTTAGACAGTGCCTAGAACAGTGGGACCGACATGTACTACCACAGTAGAAACACAAAATAATGACATGTTCAATGTATTAGCGTGAATAAAGTAGGTCTGTCCAAAATGGCTACATGATGGCCAACCTTTGAAATATACTTTTAACTCATTTGTATTATCATAGCGTCTAGGAGCCCTATTCATTGACCAGGACCCTGCCGCTCTGGTAGGTTATGTACAAACACAGAACAAAAGGATGGTCCTTGCCTTAAAGAGCTTCCAAACTAAGTATGACACTAGAGACAACCAATGGCTAAGACAGATGGATGGGGGAGTACAAGGAAACAATGAGACAGTATTAAGCGAAGGTCTCAATACACCAATAACCAACCTACTGTCCAGTTTTTTGTGGGTATCACAGTAAAGGAGAGTAATGGAAGCAGGCAGTGGAAGCTGGCAACATTGGCAGATCGGAGGCAGGAATCGATATCTCAGTGAATGAGGGGCGATAGGTAGGGCACCGATGGGTTATAAAGGGCCTTGAAAGTGAAATCCTTGTAGTGAGACTAGAAACAAAAACTACCTTCCTTTTGAAAGTATTTTAAAAAGAATTCAATGTAACCAGCTGAAGAGATTCCATGTCAGCACAGGAGAGCCTTTGTCTTTGAAACAGCCACAGGTTTGTTCATTCAAAAATAAAACTCTTACAATGGGAAACTGACGATAGCTTCCTATCAAATTCCAGCCTTGCCTTCTAATTTCTCCTCAGGAGCCATGGCTTAAATAATTACTTTCTCCCACCAAAGAGATTTTTCATAGCAATCACATTTTGCTGTAGTTTGCCAATGAATTACTAGAATTGCCCACAAGTAGAAAAATAAGCCTAAATCTAACTCCCTCATTATCCCTAAATTTGTATTTTGTCCATAGTGACTCATTTCTCTGCAGGGTTAAGTTTTGTTAGTAAAGGACAGACATCCTGAGGCTTCTGGGATTACCCTGATGTATGGGGGAGGTTTAGAACAGTGGTTCTCAACCTTTCCAGACTACTGTAGCCCTTTCAGGAGTCTGATTTGTCTTGCCTTCCCCAGGTCTCACTTCACTTAAAAACTACTGACTTATAAAATCAGATACAAAAATACAAAATTGTCACAGCACAGTATTACTGAAAAATTGCTTACTTTCTCATTTTTCCCATATAATTATAAATCAATTGGAATATAAATATTGTACTTAAATTTCAGTGTATAGTATATAGAAGAGTATAAACAAGTTGTTTGTATGAAATTTTAGTTGGTACTGACTTCGCTAGTGCTTTTTATGTAGCCTGTTGTAAAAATAGGCAAATATCTACGTGAGTTGATGTACCCCCTGGAAGACCTCCCTGTATGCCCAGGTGTACACTTACTCCTGGTTGAGCACCACTGGCCTAGAACATTTTCCTGAAGTTTAAAATGGCCATAGGAACAGAGATTCATTTTCAGTTGTCTAGGGAAAAGCTTAACATTCTGCATTGAATTGTTTTCATGAGGTCCTGTATCTGACTTCTACATTTGTTACAGAGTTTATTTTAAAAAGAGTGTGAAGTAGTAAAGGTAGCAATGTTTTTGACACGCTTTATTGAACACTATTTTAAAAAATAAACGCTTAGGCCTCTCTTTACCACAGTGGACAAATTGGTTCTTTGTTTAATCTTACTAAAAGATTGCCTATGTAGAACAGAGATGTTAGAATCATATGTTCAGTGCATAACCACTGCCAGAGTGATACAGTTAGAGGGTGAGTGTGGAAACTCAGAGAAGAAGTTTGAACTAGCTGGGCATGATAGCTCCAAATG